GTTGCTGCTGCTGCTGCTGCTGATGATGATGATGATGATGATGGTAGTGGTGGTGGTGCTTGGAACGGGATAAGAATGGCGTGAGTTCTGTGTGTTACAGGTGTCGCTGCACGACAAGGGCAGGGACGTGCTGGAGAGAGAGGTGAGAGTGCTGCTGAGCAAGCATAGTCGGCCTGTCAACCCCATGCTCATGCTGGACCTGCTGGGGCTCGACGAGGAGCTGCCTCACGAAGACATGGGCATCGACGTACATCTACCTAGTACGTACGCGCAGTGCGACATACGCCGATTAGTAGTACTGAAGTATATGTTTATACGTTTATGGTATTGGACGAGATCAGTGAAAAAAATACACGGGGGCTCGGGGCGATTTAGCCCCCGAAATGCCAAAATGAGCCCCGGAAATGCCAAAAAGAACCCCCGTAAATTTGCATAGATTTCAATGCCAACCAAATTTTAGAGTGCTATTTTCATGCACGCGAGCTTAAAAAGTAGCCCCCGAAAAATACATTTTAATTTTTTCCCTGGACGAGATACTCCGAGATTCGTAGTATTGTAGTATATGTTTATACGTTTATGGTATTGGACGAGATACGACAAGATTCGTGGTACTGAAGTATATGTTTATACGTTTATGGTATTGGACGAGATACTTTGAGATTCGTAGTATTGTAGTATATGTTTATACAATGATAGCATTCCTCTTCTCATATTTCGTTATTTTTTTTTTGTACTTTTTTGTGTTCTTCTCTCTTTTTTTCCATCCTTTCTTTCCTCCCTCCTCTCCTTCATTCCTTCCACCTCTCTCTGCCTTCCCCTCTCTCTGTTTCTCGCCGTGCATAGCTACCTGTCTCTCACTCCTCTCATTACTTCTCCCTCACCTTCATCTCTCACTTTCTTGTTCCGTCGACACTATCTGATTCTCTTTGTCTCATTTGCGCCTGCTTGTCCGTACGTCATATATATATATACGTCTGTCACGTCGTTTCACGTATGTCTGTTTGCCGTCTCCGCAGACAAGGTCCTGTCCGACCTGGGCGCCATCTCTCAGTGGCTCGTCACACGCACCGACCGCCTGGACTTCATGAATGCCTACGCTACGATCCGCGCTGAGACGCTGTACCGCTCCATTGTCGCGTGAGTACCTCGTGCACGTGCTGACACCTGGCGGGCGATCGCAGCGGGCGTCGTGATTGGTCGTGTGCTCGCTCCTGTCCGAAACCGTCGTTCGCTCGGAAATTGAAAATTTGTGGCCGTGAAGTGAATGAGCTGTCGTCGTAGGGCGAGGGGAGATGGCGGGTAATATTTCGTGAAGGTAAAGTTATACAGCGAAGGTGACCGATTCCTCGACTTTCCTGTCTCCTCTGTACAGTGACGCGAAGATAGCGCTACTCTCCCCCTGAAGGATTCCCCTTCTCTCCTGTCTCCTCTCTGTACGGTGAGGCAAAGGTAACCGACTTCCTTGAAAGATTTCCCATCTCTCCTGTCTGTACGGTGAGGCAAAGGTAACCGACTTCCCTGAAGGATTCCCCTTCTCTCCTCTCTGTACGGTGAGGCAAAGGTAACCGACTTCCTTGAAAGATTTCCCGTCTCTCTGCACGTATCAGGTTGAAAGATCACCAGAAGAGCAGCAGCGGCAGCAGCCGCAGCATGAACATCCCGCACTCCCCGGGGAGGATCCGGCCGACGAAGGAGACGCCGACGAAGCGAGGCTCCAAGCGGGGCTACATGTACAGCAACTTCATGAAGAAGGCGACGATGGCGAAGCATGCGATATACTCGCTGTCCGCGGACCCCGGTGCGTAGCACGCACTCTTGTTTCTTGTCGCGGCCCCCGCTCGCGTTAGATCTCAACGTAGCGCGAACCCACGGAATTGTAGCGCGGGGAGAGACCGTTGGCATATTCCGATTGATTTTCTCACTATCCCTCTCTCCCTTCATCCCACTCATTTGCTCGCTCCCCCTCTCTCTCTCGTTCTCTCTCTATCTCTTTCTTTTCTCTCTTACTCTTCTCTCTATCTCTCTCTTTTCTCTCTTACTCTTCTCTCTATCTCTCTCTTTTCTCTCTTACTCTTCTCTCTTTCCTCCCCCTCTCTCCCTCCGTCTCTCTCTCTCTCTCTCTCTCTCTCTGTGTAGGGTAGGGCATCGCGTAGAGTGTCTCGCGTTTGGTATTTTTCGTGCGTGTGATTTGCTTGTTTTCTTCTGCGTGGAAACAGGAAGGATGAAGGCAAGCGTTCCCGAGGACGAGCAGACGTCCGTCGACGTTGTGCCGTATCTCACCATCCTCTCCGCGTTCGTCAAACTAGCTCAGGTACTACTGACCTGCTTAATAAAGTGCACATGTAATATGATGTATGTAGGTCCAGTGGTATTCCACCATGTTGTTCAATGCATTTCTATGGCTTTTCAATGTCCTGAAACTATTTTTTAAATAGCAATGTGCACGCTTGATTTTAGGAGCAAGAGAATCTCACCATGCTGCAAGAGTCCCTGGCAAAGAGTGACACGCTGACAACAAACATGGTGTCCATATTGACGTCGTTTGAGAACCGCCTGCTGCAGCTAGAAGAGACCATACTGCCAGTCTATGAAGAGACTGGAAACCTTCAGCGAAGGCAGCACAGTATCCTTGTCTACTTGGCACTACATCTTACCCTCACATCGACACGGGTGCATGTACGCCTGTTATATGTTTACGTCTCTACATGTATTCTTCATGTAAAGTAGATACTTATTCGATATCTATATATTATTATACATGTGCGCAAGGTAGATGAGTTTGCATGTGTAATAGTGTTTAGGTCGTGAGCTTATCGGTCGTGCCAGAGGCTAGACATCGCAGCATTTAGTTTGCAATTTCCTCGCCGCAGCTTGGTTTTGACGCGTTCCACGGCTATCGTCTTCTCCTTCCCTGACTCTCTCGCTCGCGCTAGACATCGAGCAGACTCTGTCGCTACTCGACCATGCTCTCAACTTCCACAACACGGCCAGGGAAGTGGAGTCCGTGATTGAAGGAGCGCAGCCCAGCGACGACCTGGCGGCGTACCTCGAGTGCATGGAGCGGCTGGCGAGCGCGATCAAGTACTTTGGAGAAAACAACCCGGACAGTCTAGAGTTGTCGACAGTGGTGAGGATGGGGCAGGGTACTCAGGGGTGGAACCAGCAGCAATAATCGTGGTGAGGATAGTCGGGGGCGGGGGGATACAGCAGGAACAGTCGTATGATGGTGGCAGTGGTGGCAGCAGTGCTGCTGCTGATGGTGGTGATAGTGATCGTGGTGGTGGTGGTGCTGCTGCTGCTGCTGCTGCTGCTGCTGCTGATGATGATGATGATGATGATAGTAGTGGTGGTGGTGCTTGGAACGGGAGAAGAATGGCGATTAAGATGATGATAGTGATCATGGTGGTGGTGGTGCTGCTGCTGCTGCTGCTGCTGCTGCTGCTGCTGCTGCTGATGATGATGATGATGATGATGATGGTAGTGGTGGTGGTGCTTGGAACGGGATAAGAATGGCGATTAAGATGATCATAGTGATCATGGTGATGGTGGTGCTGCTGCTGCTGCTGCTGCTGCTGCTGCTGCTGCTGCTGCTGCTGATGATGATGATGATGATGATGATGATGATGGTAGTGGTGGTGGTGCTGTTGCTGCTGCTGCTGCTG